CCACTGTGCGCTTGCTGATTACTTTACGCTAGTCTGTCCGAGGTATTATTTGCGGCACTTAATCTACACAGCATGAAAATCCACCCAGCGTTATTATTATTATTGAGCAGCCAGCAGTGGTAAACCAGTGACATGTTGTTGTGTGGTACATTATACTTAATCTGGATAAACCCCCACTTAAAGCAGATTTGAGTCTTTTTATGAGCAGATCTGGACATGATAAACTTGAAGTAAGCATGCAATGAGTAATGCTGGCAGCCAACACCTCTGGGTCACAAAGCAGGAGTTTTAAAAACACTAAACCAGGACATGAACAAAAAAAACATTTCATTAAATTGTGCCAAAAAGCTTTCAGTAGGTCAAATTAACACAGCTTTATCTAACCAGAACAACAGAAAAAAACATAATGTTCTTGTTCATTTGAATGTGATAATGTGGGTTTTAACAATATGCACATGGAACAGCAGAGATAATATTCAGCCTCCATGTCTTTGTCCTGGTGGTGAACCCATTTTACACAGCAACATCAAAACCCAACTCTTGTAATAGCATTACATCACTGCAAGCACTACTCGGCGTCTGAGATTTACGACTCAAATCAAACTCTGGAAGATATTGTTGGCCTCGTTTCGGTTACACATAGTCTGTGGCACTTACACTGGAATATTAGACAAATGTATTTTAAAGTAGTTTGAATACTAAGTTGAGTCATCATAAATCACTAACACTGTGCAAGTTAACTATACAGAAAATATTATTTTGGAAAAAATCATATCAGACAAGTATTGCCCTGCTTTTAGAGGTATTTATATTAAAAGAGCCCAATGCATTTTTTTCAAATTCTATTATCTAAGTAACTGCAGAATTTGAAAACTGTTGCTTATTACGTTTAAAAATGCAAATCACTGCATATACTGTGATTAAGGCAACACTAGATAAAAATGCAATCATGGGAATATGGTGACTCTTTTAATTACTTGACCACTTTTGTGTCTTTTATAGATGCTAGCATAACCTTATTTTTATTACTGATGCTTCGTCCAATCATCCCTCTAGAGAGTGCATGAGATCCTGGTGTCCTTGTCCCCTGTGTGCAGGAACATACTGTGAAATCTTTGCGACTCTTCAAAACCATTTGAATAGCTTGAATGTCACGGTGACATATCTGTCTGGAGTGGTTTTCTGCTTGTCTCCAAACAAGCTCAACAAATTAAGCCAATCATTTGCAAACTTATAGCTATGCAGACAACGCACTAAGACTATGGATGTAGTTAGATTATCTCCCTCATTTGTAATTACTAATAAGCCCTAATGGCCACTTACTAGGCCTGGAGCTATCATGTGAGGGGGAATCAGTGCCGCCGCAGACAGATGTATTACCACGAAAATAGTCTTGTCAAAATGCGGAGGAAAAAAGCAACAGCGGGCTTCAGGTGCTGGCTAAAGTGACACGCAACAAGCCCGTCTGATGACAAGTGTGCAATCAGCGCAAACTCCGCAACCACTTTGTGCATAACACCGGCACATCTCCTGTTTGAGACGAGAAAATATTTTCACAGTAATGCTTCGTGCATGACAGGAAGATTGTGGAGCGGCCTTTGAAAGCACCTTCCATCAACATTTGAGCTGACAGGCATAGACCGTGACACAGAAACATACAAGCGTTAATGGAGACATGAGGAAAGGTATTAGGCAGATCTTAAGCACGGCCCATTTGAGATCCCTGTGGCACTCAGGAGATATTGCTGCTCATAGTTGGGACTTGATTTGTGGGAAAATATTACACTGGGGCATCGCAGTGTGAAATGGCCTTACGAGTGATGTCCGAGAATCAAGGACGCGGCTGCTTCTGTAGACACAACAATGGCTGAGAGTAAATATAGCAGCTTACCGCAAGATAGTTCTGGTCATGAGTCCTTTATTACGTACAATTGACTCTTGTGAGCATAGATGTAATAGATGTGGTTACCTCAAAAACATACCTGGAGTTGTGTTTTGTTTCAGTCACACATGTTTGAGTAACCCATTATTATTAGTCAGTCTATATTTCTAAAGCTCAAAATGACCTGTTCCACTTTGTGATGTCATGTAGTGCTAGTTTTCAAGTTAACAGCTTTTCCCTTTAGGTCAAGAAAAATGGGCAATTTCAGAGCTGAAATTATCCGAATGGAGCGCTTCCTGTATTACCACATGACATCACAATGTGGATCAGAGTGTTTTCAATTTAAGAGAAGAACTCAGCTTAAATATGCAGGGTTTGTGTGATAAACATGTGTGAATGAAACAAAACACCACTCCAGGTCTTTGTTTGATGAGGAGATAACTTTAATTTTGACACTTCAGAATGTGAATTGTGCAGGACAATACTCTCTTAAAAAGTGGGTTATGTAGGGCTGGGCGATATGTAAAAAAGGATCATGTTTTTCGCTTTGGTTTTCTTTTTCTTTTCAAAAACAAAATACAAATGCTTTTCAATATGGATAGATTTTCAGTTGGTGCAATTTGACATAAACACTGACCAATTTCTTTCTCTAAAGTTGTATCTCAGCTCTAAGCCACATGCTTTTACTGACAAAGGTTTAGCTGTAGACTTCCCCATTAAAAAGACCCAACAAATGGCAATGATAAAATCTCAATCAGGATTAAAATTACATTGATTACAGTAATTCCCCAGCCCTAGTTATAGTAATTGTATCCAAAATTAAGAAGTATACTAGAAGAAGTAGCAGCAGAAGTAGTGGAATTATTGTTGTTTTCATAGTAGCAGTTTAAGAAGTTGCTTTTCTCACAGTAGAACAAGAATCTGTGGTATCAATATTATTCTGCATTATTCATAAGCTGTGCATATAAATGGACATAGCTAACCCACTAGCCACCACTTTCCAAACAGGAAGCGTTCATGGGGGCGCTTCCGACTCCTTTGGCTTTCCAATTGAGTTATCATTGGAAAATCGTCACCCCTCTCTCTTTAATTGCTTCAGTCAGCCTCGTCATTTTGGTCTGAGAATGTTCATATTAACCTGCTGTACATAATCCTAGTGTTTTATTTAGATATTTTGTACGTAAATAAATTCCTATTCCGAATCTAGCTCCAAATTCGCTCCTATAACCACTAGCATCATGAATTTGATTTGACTGGGGCCGAACACTCCCTTAGTCCGCTTCCTTATACAGTCTATGGTATTATTATTCCACTGTTATAGTTAGACAGAGTTATAGAATTATTCAGTGCGTAGGAACTTTCATCTTTTTCAATATTTCACTCCTGAGTATATGTTGAGTACACTGCAAGAAAAGAAAGTGATTTCAAACAAACACAATGTCCCATTATATTGTTTTAGTCACCCCCGCATCACGCAAAACAGTTGTACACGCATTGATTTTTGAGTGCTGTGGAATACAAAACAAGCCACTATTTAACCCACAGGAGTGACGCAACACATGTCACCTTTGTTTTGAAGGTAGGGTCAAATGAGAATCAATAAAACTCGGAAAACATACAGACCTTGGATGTCAGGGCAAGACAAAGACGTAAGAAAGTGTGAATAATCCATATGAGTGAATGGCATCTATCCTTGAGGTGTTTTGTAGTATATGCTCTTATGAATCCAAGTGGGCTAACCTTGAACAACACTCAAATCAAATATGCTTCTTCTACATACAATGATCTCAAAAAAAAAAAAAAAATGTCTTGCTGACTGAAACTAAAACTAAAACTAAAGCTGTGATAGTCTGTTTTCTAACAAATTTCCATCCAAAATTTGTGCTACAGTTGAATCCAAACAAGCTGCAATATTCAGACCCACTTGCCTATCTGTGACAAATTGCAATCAAATCAGAACCAACAAACTCCACAGAATAACACGTGAATCCAACCCAGGATATTCTTTCTTTGAGACAGGAATTTTAACCCTAATCATCTATGATAAAACAGAGCTTTATTACATAATACTTAGGTTTTCAAATTACAGTACCTCCTATTCAAACATTGATGAAGTTGATATTGTCAAATATCAACTTAACTGTAATTTCAGTGCTAAAACACAACTTGATTATTAGGGATGGAACAAGATCTCGTGTCACTAGATCGCGTGAGACAAAATTGCCTGAAGACAGAGCACACAAGTGAAAAATGATCGCGTGAGATTTGTTTCCCACGTGTTTGGAAAACAGAGATTAAGTGTTGGTTGAGTTACATATCTTACAGTTCCAAAATATTACGTAAAATAAATTAAAAAATGTGAGGACAAAGTTGGAAACTGGAAGTGTCTTTTGGAAACTTTATATATTAGGAATTATGTCAAATTCTAGTCTTGTTCTTGTAGACCCAATCTCATATCTCATCTCGTCTGGTGGAAATTGTGTCTCGTCCCATCCCTATTGATTATGTTTATCTGTAATAAATGAATGGGCGAATGGTTTGTATTATTTTGCCTTTATCTAATCTCAGAACATACTTATGCATCTTTATCTTGCCATTAAAATGACAAAATGAAGCCCTTTTGATAGACAAGTCGTCACATTGGCCCTAATTACAAACTTGCATTGGCTTTTCTTTCTGCATCACAGAACACACAGTGGCAGTTAACAGCTGAAGGGGCAATCTCCACTCTGAATATGACGCAGATTCAGGCTATATTTGTCGTTAGCTTGGCTCGTAGCTGTCACGTTGCATAACTGGATGCTTCCATTAATTAGTATTTACACATATTAGCCCTACGTCCTCCCCAGGGGCTTAAATATACTACTGTGCTAATGATAATGAGTCAAAACAAACCCATGCATTGGATAGTTATTACTTTAACATTCAAATAATAAGATATAAACCTACATTGAAGACTACCTGCAGAGTGGAGTTTTGTGTCAAACAAACAGAAGGTTGGCAGCTTGCCTTTACGGTCCGGTGCCTGTCTACAGAGATTCGCTCACGTCTTCTTCAGTTTAACTTAATTTGCATGTTTAAAAAGGCCAAAACATTCAGACTTTTTTTTTTTTTACCCTGCGACATTGCCAAGAATTATCAGTGGGGGAGTGATAATGTGGCACTGTTGTCTACATTTCAGAAAGTTGGCCGAGGCTGGAGGAAAGTGAAAACTTCATTAGACAAATCGCCACCTGCCTTTTTGTCTTTAGTTGCAAGAACAAATAGATCCCAGACTAATAAGTGTTGTTTAGCATTGATTTGTTCCTCTTACACACTAATTGTCGATAAGAGTTACGTAAGAACTTGGCAAGTTCAGCTGAATTGACACAATCTCAAGGCACAACAGAGCACTGGCCAGAAGCTCATGTCATTGTAGTCTGACAATGTTCAGACATAACATTTCAGTTAGATCTGCAATGATTTCACAGTGCACATTTTAAACATTTTATCATTTGAGAGAAGATTGAACTATCAACTAGTAAATCTGAATCAGAATATGACAAGAAACACAAGAACCTCATACATTTCAGAGAATGTAGCGGCTCATGTTTTTGTTTTTTTCATTAAAAAAACCCAACATTCATTTAAATAAACAACTGCAGGCTCTGTTATAAGATTTGTGAATAATTTTGCAACCCCACATAGAAGTGGTTTCATATCAATGTGTAGATTTCTCTCTGTGGCTTTGTACCTCTATGTGAATGTACAACATATATGGGCTGTATTTTGTACTCACACTAGACACTGGGCACCCATACTTTTATTTTATCATACTTTATATTGTTGTACATTGTTTTATGTTGCACCATAACACCGACGCTTCCCAGTTTGTGAAATTTGTTCACTGACAATGGCAATAAAACTGATTCTGATTCATGCTTTGTAAGATGAGGCAATTTCATCATCTTTTCACTGTGAATACAGGCTCAGCAGTCCACACCAGTGCTGCAAGCTTGTGTATAGCCCAGGCCAAAAACACCTCAGCCACTGCCCAGACAGAGACTACTACTGCAAACTTAATGTTCTGGTCCAAGATTTAAAAATAAATCCATTCAAATACATGACACATTATCATCATCATCATTTGCTTTCTGAATAAACAGTACTTTTTTCAACGCTGCTCCTAAGAGGGGTCACAGAAACTCACAAAATATTTTCTGAATATAGATTTTAGCTTGTGGGAATGCAGGGTATGAGTGAGGTGAGAGAAAATACCTGCTCACTTTGTAGGCAGACAGTGTGGGTGTTGAAAGATGCCGTTAGCAGCATCACTTCATATTGTAGAGCAAAGCGAATGGTGTAAGAATGGCCAAACCACCCAGGGTTTGGAGTCAGATAAGGCTCTATGAATCCAAATAAGCAGATTTTACATCAGCACAATAATGGCTTCAAGCAGATTAGGAAGCCTGAGAAAAACTTTGGGGCTAAGCCAAAGACGTGTGGCTAAATTAGAAACAGTGACACCATTTCAGTCCTGTCTCATTTTTAAACCGTCCTCAGGCTCATGCTGCTTCTCTTTAACACTTCACCTGAATCTGCAGACTGGAATAAGCATGTCAGAGTATATATATGCACATGGAGTAGATGGATGCTGAAAATATTACATACTTTTATAAAGAATGAACACCTAAAAACATATTGTGTATGATGTCTGGGACCATGATTAGGTTAAAGGATCAAGGGATGGATAAATGCCAATATGTAAGCTACAGTAATGAGAAGGAGATACAATATAACAATGAACAGCCAGTAAACTTTTTCCACCATAAAGCAATTAAGGTATTTGTATGAAGAAAAAAATAAATAAATAAAAAATCCAAAACATGGGCCTTCTGGGCGTCAGGGTCAAAGGGCACGTCAATTCATATCTGTATCCTCATCACTTAAACGTATTACACTGTCTATGGATTAATATTAACTCCTTAATTTTATATCTTATTACATGGAAAATAATCTCCTATGTAGGCCTATATAATCAGCATTGAGCCCTTAAAAGCAATTTAATACCATCCACTGTCGTTTTGAGGGTATAGTTGTGGCTGACAGTGTCTCATGAAGTTTCGCTCCTCTTCCGTTTAAGTGAAAGTTAAATGCCCGCACTTTTACTCCACCTCTGACCTCTCCTGCTGACTAATGGCTTCCCTGCTGCCTTTTTGTGCGTGTGCGTGGAGCGCGCGTGTGTGCTTTGAGTAAGCCTCCGTTTCCCGGCATAGTACACTGATATTTACAAATCTGCGCGAGTGACATTTTGAATTCATTTGAGACGCACAAGCATGGTAGCCCTGGCTGTTTTTTTAAAAAAAAGAGCTTTTACGCATCTTCTCTAGTGGATGAAAACGCAAGTCAAAGCGAGGCAATCACGTCATGAACTAACTGAACAGTAGCCTATATGAGAGAGAAATAAACAGGAAGCAGGACGCACCTTGCTCGTGCGTAAAAGAACAACTGCGTTACTTTACCTGATATAATGTCGATGAACGAGGCAGACACTAGTAGTACAATTCCCAAGCGCATCTCCACGCCGATGTCAAACCTCCGACTCCAGTCTAGTCCTCTGCCACACTTCTTAAAATGCGCCCTCTAGTCATCAAAAAGTGTAAAGGGCGACAATAGTAGAGCTGTTAGTGAACAACCAGAGAACATCAGTTGAAGTAATCAAGCGAAAAAAATCAGACTGAAAAACTTTGTCACTCGCAGAAAGCCATGCCTGTCGCGCAGGAGTGAGTGAGCATCGGCCACAGCAGCACCGCCCCGGAGCAGAGCGAAAAGAACTCAACTCAGCATCACTTGGTCCTCCCCATAGTCTCGCGCACTCACTTATTACGGAGATGTCTCACAGCTCCAAACCAAAAAGGAGGTGGTTTGGCACTATTTTTAGTCCGGTCATAAATAAAAGAATTCCCTTTCTCTGGCTCTCGCTGCGGTGCTCTCATTCGGCCAGGTTGCGGCGTCAGTTTGTGTGAGTGCGAGGTGCTGAACATGCCGAGCTGCCCCCCCTCCTCTCCTCCTCTTCCTCCCCTCCTCTCCTCATCCTCATAGCCGCAACAAATCCTCGCCAGTCTCCCGGAGTCTGTCATCGTTTTAAAGAGACAGAGGGCGACCTCGCATAGGACAGTTACTGAACTCTAGATTCCGACCTTAAGGCATTGTAGTTTTAGTTGGAGCTTTTAAGAGTGTAGAAGTAGACTACACCAACTTTATTCTTTAAAGCACTTTATTTGCTTTTGGGAACATATGACTTTATAAACTTTCTGAACAATCAAACTGGCTTTAGAAGACGTCATAGCTCATGATTGTGTTCATCCTATATCAAAAGGGCATCTTAGGGGATAACTTAAGGGACAAAAAGACAAATCTGATCCTAAAATAAAACAGACCAAGTTTGTTTACAGTGTAAGAGTAGGACAAATGTAGCCCAACTTTCAGATATTAATAGGCCACTGTTTATGTACAAAGTAATCTAAACTGATTCCTGATTGAAATCTAGATCTGCAAACAGTGAGCATTATATCTAATAATCTCAAAAGGTACAGCAATAGTAGCTGTATGACCGAAAGGTATTTGACTATAACATTTCAAACCATGGTGTGTCTTCAAAGAACTAAAGGTAAAAAACATGTTCTAACCATAATGCTGCATAAAAAAGTAGATAATTTAACTTCAGATCTCAAACACTGGACAATTCTTTTCTGAATCTAAAATATACAAAAATAATTGTAGATGGTGACTCAATTTGTACCAGGAGCACTGAGCGCTGGAACAAACATTCCATCAGAGGTCACAAAAAGACAACCTTTCAAACTACATAAGATTCAAATAATTTTGCATCTTCATATTTCTTAACTATATTGTTCCCACATTCTCAGATTGGTGTTTTCGCAGGATGATGTGTCTGATTGATGATGATTGATTCACTTCTCTTGCATTTCCTGTCAACAGTTCACATTTCCTGTCTGCTCTCATATAATGGGATCCTGTATCTCAATAACTTGAAAGGGTTAAGTTATTCATCCGTGCTTTTATATGTGGTGATATGGTTCTCTGTATAGTTCATTAAAAGTCCTTGAGTTTTTTCTACAGCCTGAATACAACAGCACAGACAGAGCTGAGTGTCACTGTTTATTAATTAGAGGATTGGAGAGAACTGCAGAGATTACTGACAGTTCAAACATAAGCACTGTCACTATCCAGTTCGCCTGTCATTGTCGCTGGTGGTGGGTGGCAACAAGCGACCCAATGTAGCGGGCATTTCAGGGACATCTTTGTAGTTATTGTTACTGCATTGGAAAGCATCTAGATAATTATAACTTTTGCCTTTTAATAAGAGTCTGCTTTTCATCTTGATTATTGAGAGTGTAATAGAAGGTTTAATAACTTAGACAAAAATGTAATCATTTTTATTGAAAATGTGCCAGTCAAGTTTTAAACCGTGCCTGAACTCGCAAATAAAATCCTGAAAATTAAAGGTGCATTATGTAACTTTGCTGGTGGAGGGTCCGTCACCTGCTTGTTTCTATGGATATGTCATGGCTCTATGACATTAAACAGCTCTAGTTTACACTAATTCAACTGTACGTAACGTTAAACCTCTATGCCTCTGCACAGATCTGACCTGTAACTGTTATCTGATTTCATCTCCATGAAGATAGAAAGCTTTAATACCATACTGTGAAACATTCCAGAAACAGCAATAAGATTCCCATGGAGAAAAGCATCTGACAGACCCTCCTCCAGGTGCAATATTCAAATGCTTGGAGATGTTATTGCTTTGCCTGAAATGTTCCACAGTGTGAAATTATACAGTTTTTTTTTCCATAGAGATAAACAGATGGTGTAAACAAGTAAAGTTATATTTCAGATCTGCAAAATGAAAGCTCCTGTCACTATAATATTTGACTTCATTTTGGTGACTATTTGGTAGGATAAAAACGGTTATGTTAGAGAATGTTATTGTACTTATCAGATGGTGGCAACAGATCACTGCTGCCCTGCTGTTGAGGCTGCTGTCAGTGGATTGTATGTTGATTTATCAAGCATCTGTTGTTTGACATAGACTCCCCTTTGGCATTGTTGGAGCCCCAGCCGCCTGACCCTCTCTTCTCTGGGGAGTGTTGTGGACACACTGTTCTCCCTGGGGGGCTTAATCTCAGTTTCCCTCTCCCCTCCTCCAGCACACGCACCCAGACCTGAAATGTCCTCAGTGTGGCTACTCTCTCCCACTCATTGTCTCTGTGTCAGCTTGCAAAGGTCCAACATGATGGAGGGTAGACTTTTCGACTGTCGACCGGTCACCCCCCTTTGTTCACGTTCAATGGGGCTGGAAATTGGGCAACTGAAAGAGTAGTCCAGATGTCTGTAGTGGAGAATCACACAAAGACGGGGCTATAATGGTCTCAATCTTAGCACTAGTGGATAATGTATTATGAGGCCAACAAAGGCTAAACAGACATAAAATAGTGGTATCCAAGCTAGTACTTTTTAAGGCAGGACCAATACACCACTACATCTAGCTGCTACAGAAGTAATTCTTATTTGCAATCCATTTTCAACGATGAGATGATGATCAAAACGTGAAATGTATAAAGTCCAAAAATATTTTGAGAGCTTTTGAACATGTTTTTGGGTGGCATTTGATTGTTTTATTATTCAAAGAAGCAAGTAACCAAATAACCAGATTTGCATGAAATTCTCTCAGAAGGTCAGTCATAATTCACTGGGCAAAACTGTGGTGTGCATGAAGAAATCCACGTTATATATCCACAGTATGCTACGATAATGCCTTGGTGGAGGTCTGTGCTGTTTGGAAATGTGCAAAAACTGTACCATTTCTTTTTTATGTGCAGCAATCCCAAACTAAAGGAAATGGATATTGTAAGGATGTCCAGTAGTAGTAATAATATGGCAAATTACAGATTAGTTAAAGGTGGTTAATGGTGATGTTATAGCTTTGCCCAGAATGTTCCATAGTATGGCATTAAAGCATGGCATTTATCTATTAAATTGATTCAATAACAGGTGTTTTTATTGCTCAGAAACACATTGATACCTTGAAAGCATGCATTTGTACTACAACTGGGCTTGCCTCTCCACATACCTGATCTGTAACTTGGCCTGGAGGTGTCGTATATTGTTTTTATGGAGATAGATGAGTTTAATGCCATACTGTGGAATGTTTTGATGAAGACATGTAGACCCTTAACCAGAAAATGTACACAGTGCACTGTTAACAGCACACAAGGAGGCACTACTACAGTGAGTATCAAAAAGACAGAGTATTACATCTACCCCTAACTACCACATTCAAATAAAACAGCATGTATCAGAGTTTAGCCTCTGTTTAACAAAGTCGGCATGTGAGCCACTTTACCATAACGTTGCTAGGCAGTTTCCAAGTCCTGTGTTGTTGTGCCTTGTCTACAAATGTATTCACTCATTACCGCATCATTAAGGAGTCATTTTCACTTTTTGAACACGCGCTGCAGCTGAATTATTCATGGCTCAGTTTTCTCCTGTTTAGTTCATGTTTGAATTGGTCTGTATATATGTAAGTGGATGTAGGATGACTATGAGGCTAGTGTGTTTGAGTCTGCTGTGGGTGGCCCTGTGTAGAGTATGGGAGGTGCAGATGGTGCAGTCTGTGTGGCTGCACTAAAGTAGGCTTCAGCTGCCGACCTCCCTCCCTCCATTGACCTCACGGGCCCTATTTTAGATCTGAATAATTAAAAAGTCCTTACTATATGCAGTTGTTTTAACTATGAAAATCCCTTTTTCAGAGTTCTGGCAAGAGGATAAAAGTACAACACAGAATACACAATATCCACACACAAATCCTTCATCTTGAAGTTAATATGCAGTTATGATTAGGGATTGTGTATATCTAATGTGCTAATCTAATCTCCATTTAGTACTGTATCAGTATATTAACATTCAACTATCATTTTAGGTCTTCAATATTTCAATAACAGAGAATTATTCACAAGGATAATCCTAGAACAGAATGATGTTCCTTTCTTTAGAACACAGAGACATGTCAAAAATCATAATCACAATTTTTGGATGTAAATAAAATCACAATATAGACTTAAAATATTGTATTAGTCATGTTTTTAAAAATGTTTAGGCTTTTAAATTGTTGACTCCATTACTCCATGTAAAGTGAGTGCACAAATAATTCTGCACTGATGGCAACTGTAATTTATTTATTTGTAAATGAATATACAGTAATACTTTTAATCACAATTTTACATGTGATAAATGGCACAGCCCTGAATGCAACAAGTATGTAGAATAAATGACGATATGAAGTGCTGCTTAACAGCTCTATCGTCTTACATTTCACAAGGGTCGGAGCTGTTGACCTGACATGATACCTCGTCAACAGTAGTCATTAGTCACACAAGGAGGGTTTTGTTTCCTTTTGTTGAGGGCTTCTCGTCTTATTTATAGAGCAAGAGTCACACCAGTACACGGTCAACTGCAACCTACTGACTTCCACTCACTACAAATTACCTCCCTGACACTGCCCGCACCGACAGCCACTTATAGGGCAATCTGGGTACTCTTTATCAGCTTCTTA